TGCCACAAGAAAGCTGCAGAGAAAGTGCAGGACAGTGAATGATCTCTTTCAGTTTCTGCCTTCTGGAAGAAGGTACAGGGTTATAAAGACTAGGACTAGCTGCCTGAGAAACAGTTTCTATTCCAATGCGATTTTGGTTTTAAACACAGTGTAAGGCAGTCTCCAAAGGAGTGTATTGTATTTAATTATGGGATATCAGAGTTTTTAGGGGGCTAACCAGGTTGGGATAGCTGGGATAGCAGGCTTGTTGGGTTTTTAATGTCTGATGTAGATTTTTTCAATTTCGTTGTTCTGTATGGGACAGTGACAATTATTGTATCGTATCGTATCGTATAGAAGTTACTTCTGAGTAAACCTGAATCGAATTGTGCTGCAAGTCAGGATTAATGAATGAAGTAATTTATATTGTGACATCAGTGAACCTGGAATTTTACCAACAATAAGCCAATAAATCTGGAATCCAAAAATAGTCATTTGCATCAAGGGAAGGCACCAGATCAAGAATGTACTTCAGAAGACAATGAGATGCACCAGCTGCTGCATTGTATACAGTGGTACCTCAGGTTAAGTACTTAATTTGTTCCAGAGGTCCGTACTTAACCTGAAACTGTTCTTATCCTGAAGCACCACTTTAGCTAATGGGGCCTCCTGCTGCGCCGCCGGAGCACGATTTCTGTTCTAATCCTGAAGCAAAGTTCTTAACCTGAAGCACTATTTCTGGGTTAGCAGAGTCTGTAACCTGAAGCGTATGTAACCTGAAGCGTATGTAACCCAAGGTACCACTGTACCTTCTTCCAGCAAAGGTCTCTTTTCCTTATGATTTTCTACTGTTACTCCTGGTTTGCAGTCTTGTTCAAAATGTTCTCTTAGAAGCCCTTGGTCAGTTTGGTCCATGCTGTCAATTACTTTCTGATATCTTTTTGAGCTTAGCTGTTCTTCTTGGTCTTAGAGGTCATCCTGAATTTTTCAGTCAAAATCCAGTTTTCCATAAGACTGATGGCAAGGTTTCTCCAAGTGGAGCTCTTTTGGAAATGTAGGCAGTGGATATGTGAACAAGGTCAAGCTGAGTTCCCACAAGTTGGCCTGTGGGGTCGCTTGCTTGCGCACACTATTCAAGACTGTTTACTCTGTAATTTCCTGTCATTTGGCAAAGGGGCTGGATTAGATTGCCTCTTTTGCTTCATTCCTGTTGTACGCTTCCTCAGCTCAGTGCTTCCAGTTATCGGTCCTGTTTGCGAAGGCCTAAGATCCCAGTGCTTTTTCAGTTCATAAATTTGAGACGATGGAAGTAACAGCTGTAACACTTGACCATTTATGGGGGATTGGCAGTTGTTTGGTTCTCCTCTGAGTGTATAAACTTTATACCTTTTAAGGGAACACAGTACATTCAGAGTGAAGATATCCAGAAGCCTAAACTTGCCACTGTTACAGTGTTAATAGGGTCAAATGAGAAGTACAGGCATGAGAATCCAGCACTTAGAACAGAGAGGGAAAATAAATCTGAAAGTTCTTATCTTAATTCAGAAATTCTAGGTATGATCAGAGGGACTGCAGAGTGAAATGCTGCTTAAACTATTGCTCACAAATTCCTGGTGGTTTAAGACACTATAGAGAGAGGATGCTTGAGGCAGAGAGAAGGAAATGTTCATGATTGCTTCCCTTGAAGGATTCTACTAGAAGTAATAGACTAAGACTGCAGTCCTGTGCATAGACATTGGCTATGAATCTCCATTTAATTCCAGGCTTATTCCCATAAGACATGCCTGATATCTTGTGGTCATCCACACAGCATAGTTCTGTGCTGCTACCATAGACATTTGCGGTGTCTTTATGAAGATGAAGAAAGTATGAAGAAGCTTACACACCCTTGAATCTTCCATGTTGCATGGGCTGCGTACCACCTCCCCGCTTTATCTGACTCCCAGATAGACAGGACAACAGGACTTTGGATCTAACCAGGCCACAACTTTCTTGATTACAGATGTAAAGGTTTTGGCATAGGCATTGGGGATAACTGTTGACAACCAGCCTGCTTGCTGGATGTATACCTTTATTGGGGTCAAGAAATACTGGAGCGAAGAATGGAAGTATTGAAATAAAAAAGCTTTTCTTTTTAAGTATATTTTCATTTTAGTTTCTCTGAACTTAAAAGATGCAGCAGATTTTTATACAATATTTTGACTTCTTCTGCTTTAAGAGGAGTTAGTATTATTGTGTAGTTGTTGGTGTCAGTTTTTTAAAACACACATACCATGCAGCCTACATTGGAATTTCACATATACGGTGGTACCTGAAACTGTTCTTAACCTGAAGCACCACTTTAGCTAATGGGGCCTCCCGCTGCCGCTGCGCCACCGGAGCATTATTTCTGTTCTCATCATGAAGTAAAGTTGTTAACCCGAGGTACTATTTCTGGGTTAGTGGAGTCTGTAACCTGAAGTGTATGTAACCTGAGGTACCAGTGTATTTGCTATTTAAATAAGAATAGACATTTGAACTTCCTTCAAAGGAGAGCCAAATAATCCTATACTGCAATACTAATTTTTTTTAATAGGCACAGACTTGTTTCTGAATAAGCATGCATAAAATTGCCCTGTAAATACAGGAGGCTTCTCCTATCCTACTGGAATGTTTTACTTCTTTAAGCAGCTGAATTTCAGTAGTGATGCATGAGAGGTGGTTGGGTGGCAGCTCCCTCCTCCTGGCATGGGTGCTGTCACTCGCTGGCACTGGCACTCCTTAGGTGTGCTCCCCTGACTTTGCCATTGCCCTCTCCCAGCAAGTGTTGGAGCTGCCAGTACAAGGAAGGCAAAGCTCCCGCTTCATTCCTCCCCAGAGCACGGTTGCTGCTGAGTTGAGCCCCACTATCACAAACTGCTTTTGAAATGCCACTCAGTTTCAGAAGCAGTTTGCCATGCACTGATGTGGGAGATGTTGTTCAAGGAAAATATAGAATCATAGAATCATAGAGTTGGAAGAGACCACAAGGGCCATTGAGTCCAACCCCCCAGCTCTTACTGTCAGGAAGTTCTTCCTAATGTTTAGGTGGAATCTTCTTCCTTGTAGTTTGGATCCATTGCTCCGTGTCCGCTTCTCTGGAGCAGCAGAAAACAACCTTTCTCCCTCCTCAATGTGACATCCTTTTATATATTTGAACATGGCTATCATATCACCCCTTAACCTCCTCTTCTCCAGGCTAAACATGCCCAGCTCCCTTAGCCGTTCCTCATAAGGCATTGTTTCCAGGCCTTTGACCATTTTGGTTGCCCTCCTCTGGACACGTTCCAGTTTGTCAGTGTCCTTCTTGAACTGTGGTGCCCAGAACTGGACACAGTACTCCAGGTGAGGTCTGACCAGAGCAAAATACAGTGGCACTATTACTTCCCTTGATCTAGATGCTGTACTCCTATTGATGCAGCCCAGAATTGCATTGGCTTTTTTAGCTGCCGCGTCACACTGTTTGTGGTCAACCAAGACTCCTAGATCCTTTTCACATGTACTGCTCTCAAGCCAGGTGTCACCCATCTTGTATTTGTGCCTCTCATTTTTTTTGCCCAAGTGCAATACTTTACATTTCTCCCTGTTAAAATTCATCTTGTTTGTTTTGGCCTAGTTCTCTAATCTGTCAAGGTCGTTTTGAAGTGTGATCCTGTCCTCTGGGGTGTTAGCCACCCCTCCCAGTTTGGTGTCATCTGCAAATTTGATCAGGATGCCCTTGAGTCCATCACCCAAGTCGTTGATAAAGATGTTGAATAAGACCGGGCCCAAGACAGAACCCTGTGGCACCCCACTAGTCACTCTTCTCCAGGATGAAGAGGAACCATTAATGAGCACCCTTTGGGTTCGGTCAGTCAGCCAGTTACAAATCCACTGAGTGGTAGCATAGTTAAGACCGCATTTTACCAGCTTCTTTACAAGAATATCATGGGGCACCTTGTCAAATGCCTTGCTGAGATCAAGGTAGGCTACATCCACTGCGTTCCCTTCATCTACCAGGCTTGTAATTCTGTCAAAAAACGAGATCAGGTTAGTCTGACATGACTTATTTTTCAGAAATCCATGCTGACTATTGGTGATCACAGCATTCCTTTCTAGGTGCTCACAGACTGTTTGCTTAATGATCTGCTCCAGAATCTTCCCTGGTATTGATGTCAGACTGACTGGGCGGTAATTATTTGGGTCCTCTCTTTTCCCCTTTTTGAAAATAGGGACAACATTTGCCCTCCTCCAGTCTGCTGGGACTTCGCCTGTTCTCCAGGAATTCTCAAAGATGACTGCCAGTGGTTCTGAGATCACATCTGCCAGTTCTTTTAATACTCTTGGATGCAGTTCATCTGGCCCTGGAGACTTGATATCAATACTAAAATTTCCTTGGGCTCATATAACAAGTTTTGCTACTGTTTAATAACACCATAAGTGGACCACAAGCTTTTTTTGATGATCCCTGGAACCTCATGCAGTTGCCTCATTTCCCCATTCTATCAAAGTTCCTTACTTCCTGCTCCTTCTCCACCACACCCCTGCTGGGGCTTTTTAAAGTAGTTTCCTCTTTTTGTGTGGTTTCAAGAGTAATTGGAAAGGCAGTATTCTATGTGGAAAAAAATCATTTGATATTGTGCGGGAGAGGAGAGAAAAATCTGGTTGTATGGATTGAAGAAATGATGTTTTTCTGCCAGCTGTCTGAGAAGAAGTTGGTAGATTTCTGGTGTGCATGTGTACATGTAGATAGCTGTACCGTGTGTAAGTATAACACACTAAGATTAGAAAGGAATTACTTTCACTTGCTTTCCAGCTGTATTCTGTTACACAAAAATAAATAAAAATCCTCTGCATACTTATTTGCAGTGCTTTTCCCCCTTAAAAACTGTTTAGGGGTACAGTACTCTCAATTTCCTACTCATACTGAAATACTGGCCCTCAATGAGGCCAAACTTAGATTCACAAAATATTTAGGGGTATGTGTACCCCTGAGCCCCCCTGAAAAAGCACTGCTTATTTGAGAGTAACTTCATCAAACCCAGTGGGATTACTTCTAAGTAGACGGCATAGCACTGGGAATTCCAATCTTTAGTAGCAATGGTGAAAGTTTGTTTGGCGGTTCTAGCAGGGGAGCACAGCTATCGTATACCCTTGACCGAAGAACGGTGCACTCCTTTTATCTGGGATGATCGTCCTCTTCCACTGAGTGCACAGCTTCGGGAGGGACGCACATGGAGTGATGAGGGAGGAAGGGGACACCCGCCTGGCCAGCCAGATCAGTCAAATCAACCCTGGTGATCAATGGGGTGACAGATGTCGCAGCCAGATCGCCCTCACATCCAGCAATGGTGAAAGTTGAAGCACGGTGGTCTTTATTCTGGATTAGTTGATCTGGAACACTTTTGTCTGACCATCATTAGCTCTAGCTCTACTAAATGCTGCCATGCAGCCCCAACTGCCCACCCCTATTTACATTAAATAGAAATTATTTCCAAGTCTTTATGCCTGCTGGCTTTTTAGGGCTACTCTGTGTATGGGCTCCTGCAGCCTAGAAATATATGTCATTATCATGCAAGCAAAGCTACAGACAGAAACTCACTGCATTTCTCTGTAACGCTGACAGTAAAGATAAGTGTTCTTGGTAGATTACCTAGTACATACACAGTACATTCCAAGCATCTTATAAGAGTGCATCAAACACTTTGTTCCATTCAGCAAGAAGAGGTTGGAACATAATCTGCTGCAAACTGTTGTGTGTGAATCTTTGTGTATATATAAGCAGTATAAACTTTTGAAGTAGCATTGAAGCAGAGGGAGAAAGCAAGTTTAATGTCCCCCTCATATAAATAATCTACTAAAACAAGTTAGTGGTTTTGTGCTTACAAAAAATGGCAATGTTTAATGTTGGAAATTTTTGTAGACATGCTTTATAGGACCCTGGTGTCTTTAGAGAGTATTTATTCAGATTTGTTTCTCATGTGTACCAGGAAAAGACATGTGGCAGGCGAATGCACCAGCTAGCCCAGCTTTGCAGAAAGAAACAGTATGACTTAAATCATGCTTAACTTCCTCTCACTTGGTGCAATGGAAGAGACAGTGATAGCAAGTACAATGTGGTATCATAGAATCATAGAGTTGGAAGGGACCCAACCCCGTGCAATGCAGGAATTTCAACTAAAGCATCCAGGACAGATGGCCATCCAAACTCTGCTTTAAAACCCCCAGTGAAGGGTTGAACATTCCACTACTGAACAGCGCTTGCCGTCAGAAGTTGGAATCTTATTTCTTGTAACTTGAAACCATTGGTTCAGGTCCTAGGCTCCAGAGCAGAAGAAAACCAGTTTGCTTCATCTTCCATGTGACAGCCCTTCAGATATTTGAAGATGGCTATCAATTCTCCTCTCAGTATTCTCTTTTCCAGATTAAACATGTCCAGTTCCTTCAGCCGTTCCTCATAAAGCTTGGTTTCCAGACCCTTAGTTGCCTCCTCTGCACACATTCCAGCTTATCAACACCCTTCTTAAATCATGGCACCCAGAACTAGACATTGTATTTCAGATGTGGTCTGACCAGGACAGAATAGAGTGGTACTATTACTTCCCATGTAATAGCTGTTTGCTAAAACACAATAAACCAAACCAAACTGAACTTCCCTTGATCTTGACACTATACTTCTGCTGATGCAGCCTAGATTAGCATTAGGTTTTTTAAAAGGTTTTTTTATTGGGTTTTATAAACAATAATAATGTTACAGAAATAAGGATACCAAGTTCTCTCATGTCATTAATGAACATATCAGAGTGCTCTGTAAATGATAGTTAAAGCCTTTATATATCAACCTTTTGTGCTCTTCCACACCCGCCCAATATTCCTGACCCTTCTTTTGGATTCTTTTAGCTTCTTTTAAATTCTTATAGACTTTTATATTCACCTTCTGTTTTAGTACCTTTTAGCTTTACAAAACACGTTTCAGATTTTAAATATTGCACCCTTTTATGCTGGTCTATGACTGTAATAAAGATTTGTATTGTATTGTTCTGCTAGTCTCAGTTCCATTTCCCTCAGGTTTTGTTGTTGGGTTGTTGTCATCTTGGGGGAGTGTTGTGGTCTCAGTGCTGTTCACCATCTCCCTGATGATCCTGGTTTGAGATCTGCTTGGTGTCCTCTTGGAGTGGTGTGTGTTATAATTAGGAGTTGTGGTGGTGGTGGTTCCTGGGTGTTGGGTTGCTGAACTGAACAGGCGTTGTTGACTGGTGGCTTTTACAGAGCGTCTGGATTAGGCGGCCATTTTTTAGCATCTGGACTGTGTTTTCAGGGCTTCTCTGGAGTTTCTGTGGTTCCTCAGCGGTGTTGGCAAAGCAGGGGGCAGACAAACAGACAGTCAAGTAGACCAACAGATAAACAGTTGACATAAAAGGGTTAAGGGGCAGAGATGCAAGAGACAGAGGGAGTGGGGCCAGAGGGAGGAGGGGGGTTATTGTGGATATCCCTGTGCATACACACCTACACACTCATGCGCACAATGGGGGGGGAGTGAGGTCCAGTTAAGGGTGGGAAAGGGGATTAGGGATTCGTAGTAGAGAGTTACAAATTAAGACTGGCAAGGTTGTGTTTAGGAACAGAACAAAACAAAACAAAGGCAAAAGGGAAAGCGGAAGAGGAAGAAAAAGGAGAAGGAGAGAGAAAAAAAAAAGGGAGGGGAAATTAGAGTAAAATATAAAGGAGAGAGAAAGGAGAGAGAAAGAAAGAGGGATAGAAAAAGGGAAAGAATAGTATTAGTAATGATAAAAAAAATTGCAGTGGTGGTCCAAGTTATAGTATGAGGTAGGTGGCCACAAAGTGGGGGGGGGGTTACTATTGAAAGTGATTGGGGAGATATTTGTGCGTAGGTCTGTGATTTTTATTATTGCTATTATTATTATTTGTTGGGAGAAGGAGAGGAAAGAGAGGAGGGAGGGGGATGGATGGGGTAGGACATTTAAGAGGAAAGAAAGAAAGAGAAAGCAAAAAACAAAAAGGAAAAAGGAAAAGAAAAATATGAAGATGTTGAGGCGGTGGTGCCTGAAAATAGTGTGTGTGTGTGTGTGTGTGTGTGTGTGTAGCTATCTATCTCAAATGTTCAAAGTAAAAAGTAAAATAAAATAAAAAATATGTAGAAAACCCCTCCGAGAGGGGGAAAATAGTGTGTGTGTGTGTGTGTGTGTGTTCTCTTTAAAGAGAAAAAGGCAAAGAAGGGGAGAGGGAGAGAAAAAGAAAAAAGGGTGAGGAATGGGAAAATAGCAATAGCAATGACAATAATAAGGAGAAAACGTTTTGTTTTAAAAGAGGATGGTGATAGTAATAGGATGGCGGGGGGGGGGGAGGGCTCCCCAAACAAACAAACAAACAAGCAAGCAAACAAAAAAGGACTCAGATTTTTATGTCATTCTTTTTTCCCCTATTTAATTTTAAAAAATGAGAGATTAAAAAAAAAGTGAATAGTAAAAGAGAAAAATAAAGAAAAGAAAAAAGAACAGAAAGTCAGGGGTGAAGCGGCAATCCCAGGAAGTGGCCTTGTGTTGGTTCAGGGCTCTCTTCTGGGTGCCGCCATTTTAATTCTTAACAGAAAAACTTGAGGTAAAAAAATTGGGGGGAAGGAAAAAATGTGTTATTAAGAAATATTTTTAAAAATTAAGGAAAGGGAATTAAGATTAAAAATAAAAATAACAATGATGGCTGTGGCGGCAGTGGCCCTCCTCAAAAAGACAGAGAGGAGGTTTTGAATAAAACCCAAAATTCGGGGGGGGGGCGCTGCACTCTCTTTTCTTCCAGGGTGTCCTCCTTGTGCAGCATCCCTCTGGGCCCTGGCCTGCTCTTGGCGCACCAGCCACTGGGCAGGTGGGCTCGGGTCTGGTTGTTCATTGCCAAAATCAAACACATAGAAGAACTAGATCAGTTTTGAGTGAACCAGGGACATGTTCTGGAACAATGTTGTTGATGCTTGTTTATTTCACTCCAAGCCCAAGATATTCTGAATCCTGTACCATCACCTCCATAGCTGTCTACAAATCACTTAGCCAGTCATGTGGTGCCTTCCAGCCCTAAGTGCCCCAAGAGTAAAATGTGTGCCAGTGAAGTACTGGCGTATATTTTGCAGAGGTTTCTGGCTCTCCTCTCCCATGTCAACATAAGTTTTTTTTTAAATATGCAGCTGACACCTGGAAGATGGGAAAGCCAAAACTGAGAAAGATATGCTTTCTCAGTTATTATTTTTAAAACCAACTCTCTTTGATCAACATAAGATTTATTTTGGTCTATTGTGTGCTCTAGCTATGTTGCAAAAACAACATATAAGATTTGGAGATAATCATTTGGGGGGGGGAGATGTCTCTACATATATCTTTTGTTTAGGGAGAAAAAGGATATTGAGACTTACAATTCTTGGCTAACTCATGAGAACTTCCTGAATCACAGGGTGTGTAACACTTTATGCAAAACTCAGACAATTGTGTGTAATGGGAAGAAAATAAACTCAACTTATTTCAATGGGAGACTTGATTAACTCTTTGCCAATGAAATCAGTGGGGAAGTTTTAAACATACTTAGCTTGGACTGGATCATTCCTGGGATATATTTGGATGTTGCAATGAAAATGTGTAACTGCTTTTTCTCGGAGCACATTTCGACTTCTTTTAAATGATCTTCCTAACTTGAGTGGATGTAGTTACAAAACCTAATCTCACCTTTAGATTCCGCCTTTGCCTGGAAATCTCTATGGAGATTTTCCCATTTACATTCAGTTTCATAAACTTTGGAATTTAACATCTAAACGGAACCAAAATAAAAGCTTGGATCATTGCCACAAGCAGTTCAGCACAGGAAGATCAAGGAGAAGCAAGTGACCATATTGGGATGATTGCCTAAGGCTTCATAATCCATGGCTTATGAAGCTGTAGATAAGCACTTGGGCCACGTCTTTCGTCCTCTCCTCCTCTTGTGTTCTGACTTCACTGCAAATATTCTAGTTTACGTTCAGCCAGAGTTCCCTGACTCCTTTTTATTTTTGTTATTATTATGCTTTATTTACCATAGTTACATCCATACATCAAAGACATAGTCTGTAAATCAAGCTCATCAAAATAAAATATACCAATAAAGAAATATATATCTTCATATATTTGACTTCCCATCCTTCTCAACATCTTTTTGCTCTGATAAACCTAAATTTATCAGCAAAATCATAATAAAATATTAATTTGTGTGTGTGTTTGTGTGTGTGTGTGTGTGTGTGTGTGTGTGTAAACCCATTTAACCTTTATTTACAGAGCTTATTCAAAAGCTGCTACCGAGTTCAGATTGCAA